GAGACATAATAACAAACGACAAAGCATTGTAGCTGAGTCAACAATAACCGCTTCTCCAGCAATTTCTGCCAACGATGCGATCGCTCTTCAGAGGGAAATAGCACTGGTGCAATTGCTGATTATCACAGTTGCCCAATAACACAATATCATATTAAATCCAAATTAATTCAATATTAATTCCAATTCCCTTTTACCATATTCTAACTAGACTGAGCACTTTTTGAACCTTTTGTTACCTATAAATAGAATTTAAGTTTGTTGAATAAAATCAGTATCAGGTTCAGTACCATCACTGCCTGTTCACTCATTCTCTACAACTGCAATCAACAGAGGCTGTCGCCGTGTCTTCAGACCCTCATTTGCTCGACGTAGGAAACCCTCTCCGCAGTCCAACTGGTTCAAGTTCTAGTTGCGACGACAAATTTGTAAAGGGTTTATGTACCGTATGCATACCAAATCACACACACACACACAAACACACATTAACACAACGCTAAGTTGCCCTGCAGTACGGGTAAGCGATGTGTAAGCAACCACACATCAATGGCAACGTCATGCAACTCGATGACATAAGCGATGACCTGCCATACGATGGGCTGTTTACTTTAACACAGGGATGTCCTAGGAGCATAATCGATGACAAAGTAAACGAGAATTAGCCGAAAGTAAGGCCTTAATAAGCGATGAATTTCCCTTAAAAAGTAAGGCCCTAATAAGTGATGTATTCAAGTACAAAATTTTGATGAAAAAGGCATGGGTAAATTCTGTTTTAAAATATTAAATTTCTTTTATTTATTGTTTTCTTATAAAATTGTATGCATATTCACATTTTTGTGCTGTGTGTTCTTTTTTCCACAGAACCTTTTTATTTTTTTTGATTTGCTCATGTTCGTAAGGCCGTCGTGCTCATTCCGGGCACTTCAACTAAATCGCCTTTAAAATAAGATGGGTTAATAATTAATTAAAATTAATTTTAATTAAAAAATATTGTTCAATTGGTTTACAATGCTCTCAGTAGATCAGTGCATTTGCGCCAAAAACAAAACACCCGCCAAGATATGTACCTGTTCGGCTCAAGACTCGCAAGAACCACTCGGGTGGTTTTTATACCCGTACTCAAAAAAGAGTTAAGGGGTATATTAGATTTGTGGTAAAAGTGGATGTGTGTAACGCAGAGAAGGAAAATTTTCCGACCCCATAAAGTATATATATTCTTGATCAGCATCAATAGCCGAGTCGATATAGCCATGTCTGTCTGTCTGTCCGTCCGTCCGTCCGTCCGTCTGTCCGTCTGTCCGTCTCGATGAGCGCCTGGATCTCAGAGACTATAAGAGCTAGAGAAACCAAATTTGGTTTCCAGACTTATGTGATATCACACTGCTACAAGTGTATTTCAGAATTTCGCCCTGCCCCCTTCCGCCCCCACAAAGGACGAAAATCTGTAGCAGGCACATTTTTAAAGATACGATAAAACTAATAACGCAGTATCGTAGAGAATGACCATATCTACCAGACTGCCGAATCTGAATCAGATCGGATCATAATTATAGCCAGAATGAAGAAATTAATTTTCAGTTGCTTCCCCTCCCCCTGCCGCCCACGACAATGCAACTCATTTTCCTTCTCGCTCGCACACTCTGCCGCGTTCAGTGCGCGAGCAACCCCTAGCGGAGGAGATGTAGAATATGAATGGTACATGTAGAATATACATGTTAGATGTAGAATATACATAGTATATGTAGATGTAGATAACAGATGTAGCAAAAAAATGTAAAATGTCAAATGTTTTTTTTTTTTTAATTCTAAATAATTATATGCTCAAAAATGTAAATGCTGACTGAGTACGGGTATAAGTAGAGTCGCGTCCCCAGAAGCGACTCACACGTTCCTTCTCGTTTTTTCTGTTTTCGTTGTTGGAAATGAACAATTTCGTCCAAAACGCATTTAATTTCGCAATATCACATTTTCTTCATTTTTTACAACGCACAATAGACTATTTTTAATTAAATGAAACACTGCACTTACCTGATAATAATTTTGCCCAAAATAAACAAAACCTGCGTCTCACTTTTCACCGCACAATTCTAACAACGTTGTCGACGCCGACGGCAAACCCGAATTCTGTTACGGCACGCGTCGTAACAGAAAGAAACAAAGAAAAAAAAGAGTTTGGTATGACCGACGCGTCGATCGCGACGTTGACGTCATATTCTACTCGTCTGTTGCAGCGGCAGAGAAAAAATCCTGAATGACGCGTAGTTGAAATTTGTCATCGCTCACTTCTGGTACTGCAGGGAGTTTTGAGTTTCGTTTCCAGGTTACGTAAATGTGTGTGTGCCATGTATTCACACATACTGTGCTTGTGTGTGGGGTCTACAATTGTTGGCCGCTTGAATTGGTTTTTCGTTTTGTTTTGAGGGCTGATGTGATGTAGCGACCTATTCAGGGCCGGATCAACCCTCAACCGGGCCCTGGGCAACCATCAATCTGGGGCCCTCCATTATTTTGTATTTTTCTCAGTGGCTATTATATTTATATTTTTATATTTTATATATTTTTTATTCATTCTTGGTGTGTTCTGTCGCTCGACTCGACGCGGGTCGGGTCGAGGCATTGACGAAGCCCGTTCATAAAATATTTTTTCGTTTTGTTTTGAAAAGCTGATGTTGCGTCGGGCGCGCGGGGTATTTCTTCCATTCTCTTTTAGGCTAGCCTTTGCCTCTGCTTTCGGCACACAGACTCACACATTTTTTTTGGTGCGTTTGTGTGCGAAAACAACAGACACGAAGTCAAATACGTTACTTATTTCTCTGCCGCTGCGAAAGCCGAAGAATTGTGCATAGGGCACATGAATGCTTCTCTGCTGCTGAGGCAAGCGAGCAGAATATGAAGCCGTTTGTGCATAGCCCGAAGCATTTTTCTCTGCCGCGACGTCAGCAAAGCAGAATTTTCTCTGCCGCTACGTCATCAGGCAGAATAACGAAACCACACGAAGTCTTTACGCTGTACGTGTGCCGACTGCGCTGCTCGAAATTTTTTCCTATGCACAGTGCATACGACGCTGCCGGCCTCTGGTATACAGCAACATGACCGGAATCCGCAGATTTATATCGATACTTGCCAATCGGGACCGTGTGTGGACTGCTAGAACAAACCCTGTTTTAGCTATGTTCCACACCCTTACGGAATAACTAGTAAATTCCTGCCAGCTAAAACAGGGTTGATGAATCAGCTGTGTTTTGTAAACAGAGCCAATTGTGAAATTCAACTGAAACTAAAAAAGGAAACAATGCACTTTCACGATCAAGTGATTGTGTTGCTGGCGGCATACATTGTTGCACAACAAAAAAGAATAATTTGCATCTCTATTTTTTGTTTTGGTCTCAGTTTTTGCCTACATCTTGCACCATTCACTCCAGGAAGAATTGTAAAGTATATATTCCTGAGCTGTGCATCAGCTGCATCGTAAACGAATTCCTGTCACAGTTTTTTTTAAATGAAGTTTAACAGGAATTTTTAGATTCCACTGTGATGGATACTATGCTTTAACATTTTTTGTTATGCTAAACGGTTCTTTACACGTGCTTACGGCAAAAACTATAATAGTCTTTTGTTGTGCACAAGGGTTAAGGCTTCCGAAAAAATTTGTCCGCACACAACCATTTTCTTCAACAAGCGAGCCACGCACTGAACGTTAAGGGATTAAAAATCGAACGATTGCAGCCGACGAGACCACCTTTTATAACTGCATCATGAGCGCTGCTACGTTTTCGGTTTTTGACATTGCATTGCATTGTTGGAATGTTCTATTGCTTTCGGATGCATTTGAAAAAAAGTGAAAGTGAACATTAATCAATTCAATTATTTAAACGAAAGGTAAGACAAAGGAATCTAAGTACAGCAACGGCATTTACGTAGACTTAGGAAGGAAACTAGCGATAGATTTTCCTGCCCATTAATATGTATTTGAATTTAACATTTATAGATGCTATAACTATAGAGGCAGGGACTGGATCAGCGGAAATACAACTAAGAAAAGCTCTTCAGCTGCAAAAAAAAAAGACATTTCAAAAATATATGTAAGAGCAACAGTAACAACATAAAAATAATTGATCCTAATAATTGAAAATACTGAAATTAAAAAAAAAGGAAATTAGACAAATTAAAAAAATTAAATTGTCAACTGCACGAGTTTTTCTAACCCTTAGTTGGGTACCAATTTCACTGCCCATATAACCCATATAAGGGTTACCAATTTTACTACCTACCAGATGGGTGCCCATTTGGTGAGTACCCAAATCGTCAACCACCAGAAGAGTTCCCATTTCACTAGTTTGGGGGGTATGGATTTTATTCATTGTTTATTTTGTTTTCCTTTTTCTTTTCGTTTTCTTTACGCAGCCAAAAGTCAAAAAATGCAAACAGATAGAGAGAGAAAGAGAGAGAGATAGAGAGAGAGGGAAGGAAAGGTTGGGAAGAGAGCTAGACAGAGAGCAAGAGAGCAGAAAGAAGGAAAACTGGTTTCCAGCAGATATGTGGGCATGGTCACTATTAACTTTTGCGAAAACGAGAAAAAGCTACGGAGTTGTGTAACTAGAGGGGCTGGCGGAGCGGAGAACACATTGCGAGGAGAAACAAGTTTGATGGAATCCGAAAATATTTCCATTATTACATTATTTCCAATCTGTTTCTGACGGTGGACCTTTTAATTGTTCTCCTTTTCTGACTTCTCATGTTCTGTGTAATTTTTGTGTCCATTGATCGATGTTGATCGTTTCACCCAACAGAACTCAATACAATTGATCGGTTTTTAGGAATTTCCAATGAAAATGGCAGGATACGGATGTCATGGTGTTCATGGTCGGATGCGTGGTCCTCCATTTGCCGATCTCCACTTCACTTTGCTTTTCAGTATCTTTATTCACAAGTAGCTTACACATTAGACATTAGACACATTAGACTGAATCCTAGCCCTATATCTGAATCCTCAATCCCGAATTCTACCAGCTGCCTGCGTAGGCATTGGCCGAGGCCTTGGCATAGGCATTGCTGCCACCGCCTCCACCTCCTCCACCGCACGAGTTGCAGCCGCCGCCGTTGTTACCTCCGCCGCCTCCTCCGTAGCTGTTGGCGCTGCTGCTGGCAAACGATCCACTTCCGCCTCCTCCGCCACTGGCAGGATGACCTCCGCCGCCACCGCCCCACTGCTGTCCGCCGCCTCCACCGTGGCCTCCTCCACCGTTGCCACCGCCGCCATGGCCGAAGAGGATCTTCTTCTTAAGCTGCAGTAGCGAGGGCTGGACAAGACCCACGCAGATGGCTAGGATTAGCACCCAGCTGCCGAGTAGCTTCCAGTGCCTCATTGTAGTTTCTATTGTAGTTTCAGTTGCTGTTTCGTACGATTTCGTTTCGCTCTGTTCTGTTCTGCTTAACTTGATAAAGCCGCTGACCAACTAATCGTGGATCCGTTGATTGTGTTTCATTTTATAGAATCTTCTCGGGGCTGTGGAATCGTATCGATGATGCGCTGGGCATTGTCGTCATCGTTCCAGGCCCTCAGCGGCTCTCATGCAATTGCATTGCATGGGATGGGGGTGGGAGATCTGGGGGTTTCAGGTTTGGGGAGTTATACACAAAACAATAACAGGGGCATGCCAGACAGAAACAGCGAACAGGTATTAACTATTAATTACTCAATGGGCCGGAGAAGCTCGTCAAGCATGACATGAGACACCTGAATACCCTGATATCCATGAATTGGAAGTCAGATGTGCCTGAGCAGGTACAATAGTCTCAAAAATGGGAAAATATGAAAAATAAGAAAAAAACGCCCCAGTAAAATATCACTCATACGACATGGTGAACGCATTCCAAGTATTAGTTTTTTTTACATACATACGAGTATTTTCCAATAAATAATGCAAATTAATATGGGAAAATATTGAAGATTAATTGATTATTTTTTGGTATTTTCAATACGGGTGTGGCTTATTCCTTTTTCCGTCTGCAGTTCACCTTTGAAATGTACATAAATTCTATTGTATGCGAGGTGCAATCAAGCATCACTCCTTTTGGGTTAGGGCATCTGCAATTATATGCATGACATCTGCTGGAAAATCCCTCTTACTCATACGCGAAGCATGAGTGAAAAATTCACATAACCAGAAAGTGAGAGAGAGAGAGAGCTAGAGGAATGGTGAGCGCCGCAGCCTGTGGCACTTGGGTGCCAAGCTACGTGGAGGAAATCTAAATTATCCAGAAATCCGTAAGATAAAAGCTCAAGTATACGCTCGTAAATATGCCATTACTCATCAGAATCTCTGTCTTTATCTTCAACTACAAGTATCTGCTCAGAACAATATTTATAAAGTTTCCCTCTCCATAGTCTAAGCTTCGCTCAGACCATCAGTATGTGGGAATCGATTGGCTAGCAGATCCAACAAACCTTTTTTAATCGAAAAAACACCGAAGTCTCCAATGGAAAAGCGGATATGCTTTTTAAATTCGGGTATATTGGAAGGGATCAAATTGAGTCCTCAGCTGACCAGCCCTGGTCAGCTAGCAGAAATGTTGTGGCCCAAGATAGTTTCCTTTGCACTGGTCAGCCTATGCCTGGCCAGAGTCCACCAGGCAGCGAACCAGAAGTCCACGACGAGCTGCCCCACGAGCTTCAGCCGAATGGGGGACAAGTTACAACTTCACGTTGTATGCAACTCTAGAACCACCCTGCAGTACCAGAAGTGAGCGATGAAAAATGTCAACTACGCGTCATTCAGTATTTTTTCTCTGCCGCTGCGACAGACGAGTAGAATATGACGTCGACGCGTCGGTCAGACCAAACTCTTTTTTTTCTTTGTTTCTTTCTGTTACGACGCGTGCCGTAACAGAATTCGGGTTTGCCGTCGGCGTCGACAACGTTGTTAGAATTGTGCTGTGAAAAGTGAGACGCAGGTTTTGTTTATTTTGGGCAAAATTATTATCAGGTAAGTGCAGTGTTTCATTTATATTAAAAATAGTCTATTGTGCGTTGTAAAAAATGAAGAAAATGTGATATTGCGAAATTAAATGCGTTTTGGACGAAATTTTTCATTTCAAACAACGAAAACAGAAAAAACGAAAACCACCCGAGTGGTTCTTGGGGAGTGGTCTATGCGAGTACTGAGTCAGATACAGGTACATATTTAGACATTTGACATTTTACATTTTTTTGCACACGCAACAAAATGTATATCTACATGACCAATATTCTACAGCATTGTTAACAAGTTGAAAAATAGTTTGTGGGGCGGGGGGGGGGGGATTAATTAACCCATCTTATTTTAAAGGCGATTTAGTTGAAGTGCCCGGAATGAGCACGACGGCCTAACTAAACATGAGCCGCTGTTTTTTTTGGGGGGGGGGGGGGGAAATCAAAAAAACTAAAAAGGTTTTGTGGAAAAAAGGAAACCAAAGTTTCTCTAGCTTTTATTGGCCCTGGGGGCCCGGGCCCCCCCGGGCAGGCACAGGGAGACGGGCGGGCGGGGGGGGGGGGGGGGAGGCACAAAAATGTGAATATGTATACAATTTATAAGAAAACAATAAATAAAAGAAATTTAATATTTGAAAATTTCCGAATTTACCCATGCACTTTTTCCTCAAAATATCAACAAATCCTTATACTTCGCAACAGGTACATATCTTGGCGGGTGCTTACTTTTTAAAGGGAAATTGTCAACCAATTGAACTAAGGCCTTACTTTTAAAGGCGAATTCATCGCTATTACGGCCCTAACTTTTCAAAGGGAAACTCATCGCTAAATAAAAGGCCTTACTTTTTAAAGGGAAATTCCCATCGCTTATTAAGGCCTGACTTTGGCTAATTCTCGCTTACTATTCATCTTTTCTAAGGGACATCCCTGTGTTAAAGTAAACAGCCCATCGTATGGCAGGTCATCGCTTATGTCATCGAGCTGCATGACGTTGCCATCGATGTGTGGTTGCTCACACATCGCTTACGCGTACTGCAGGGCAACTTAGCGTTGTGTTAATGTGTGTTTGTGTGTGTGTGTGTGATTTGGTATGCATACGGTACATAAACCCTTTACAAATTTGTCGTCGCAACTAGAACTTGAACCAGTTGGACTGCGGAGAGGGTTTCCTACGTCGAGCAAATGAGGGTCTGAAGACACGGCGACAGCCTCTGTTGATTGCAGTTGTAGAGAATGAGTGAACAGGCAGTGATGGTACTGAACCTGATACTGATTTTATTCAACAAACTTAAATTCTATTTATAGGTAACAAAAGGTACAAAAAGTGCTCAGTCTAGTTAGAATATGGTAAAAGGGAATTGGAATTAATATTGAATTAATTTGGATTTAATATGATATTGTGTTTGGGCAACTGTGATAATCAGCAATTGCACCAGTGCTATTGCCCTCTGAAGAGCGATCGCATCGTTGGCAGAAATTGCTGGAGAAGCGGTTATTGTTGACTCAGCTACTATGCCTTGTCGTTTGTTATTATGTCTCCCGTTACATTGCACAGTGGGCGGAAATGCCAATATTTGATTTAAATTTATTGTTATTAAATAATGATGCAAAAGGTTGGTTATTTTTAATTATTGATTGACATTCTGATTTGCTTAAGTCATGATTTGGTATTGCGTTTTGGCCACCCCCATTATTATTATTATACCTGTTATTATTGTTTCTTTTCAGAGTTCTAAGTTCCTGAAGTTTTGTAAGCGTTGTCTGCCGAATCGGACAGATTTTGGCATTAGCTGTGTGCTGCCCCTCGCAGTTGACACATTTAATGTCTTCGGACGGATTATCAGTCTTTTTTATTGGGCATTGCCCTGGATTATGCTCGTAAAACATTTTACACATCTGTGTGATAATTTGCAATTGCTTGCAATATGTGAAAATCGTTGACAGTTGTGGCATTAGACGATTGCGTTTATATGTGGTTTCAGAGGTTCTACTGCTATGCGGCAGTTTAGTAATATCTTGAGGTTTAGTAATTGCCTAATGCTTTCCTGGTTTTTTTCTATTTGCACTAGCCAGAATTTCTCTTTGAATGGTTTAATATTTTCAATTTTTAAATCTGGCAAGCTTTCATTTAGTGCCCCCTTTACTTCCTCTATATCATATGTGCTTAATTGTATTGTTTTAATAAGACATGTGTATGGCTTCAGTTCGTTTGGTGTTTGTGAAAAGTATTTAATTTGTTGGTTATCTAAGATTTCTTTAACTTTAATAAATTATGTTAAATTTTTAGTCTTAAGGTGTACAAGATTTTTATTCCTAATGTCTAGTATGAATGTAATGTTGTGGTTTTTTATAATATTAGTAAGTAACTTAGGGTTGTACTTGTAGATAGATATGTTAGGAACTTGTTGCTTTGGTTTTACCATATTTGATGCTGCTGCTTCCGCTGCTGCCGTCGCTGGAGATGATGACAACGTTGCTGCTGCTGTCGCTGCTGAAGATGATGATGCTGCTGAAGATGATGACGTTGCTGTCGCTGCTGAAGATGATGATGTTGCTGCTGCCGATTTTTTCTTTGATGATACTGCTTCACTCGTGCGTTTCTTTTTTTTGTTGTTTACGATTGGTGATTTGGTTTTTTGTCTTTTCTTCCCCAATGATGGGTATTCAAAATCCATTTCGGATTCGGTATTACTGCCTTCATAGCCATTTATTTTTTCTTGCATGTCGGCCAATGCTTTCTCTAGCTGGGTGTTTCTTTGTTTTACCCATTCTAGTTCTTGGAGTACTTGGTTTAAGTCTTTAATTTTTACCACTTGGGTAGCGTCGTTGATATCAGGAGCCTGAGAATGGTCTTGGGGCTGTGCATGGGCCGCACCAACCTCCTCCTCGTCGTCCTCCATTCCGGCCCCGATCCGTTTTCCGTTTTCGATGTGTAGGTGGACGCTATTTCGCCCTTTTCGTTTTTTAGTATCGCTGTTAGTTGGTTGGTATCCGACAGCCACCTCACTGGTAGTATTATTTTGCTGCTGCTCGCTGTTGTTTTTATTTTGTATTTTTTTCTTATTATGATGCGCCTCTCAATGTTGGGCTGCCCATCAGTATTGGTTTTGTTATAAAGGTTGAAAATTTCGGCTCGGGACTTGTTCCTTACCGCTCCCTTTGGGCCCTCCTCCGGTCTTGAAAAAGACCCTGAGTTGCGTTGGCCGTTTATGCTAAAGTTTTAATGTTTTTTACTTTTATTCCGATCTTATATTTGGTTTTTGCTCTCACTCTCCACATACACTTTTGGTTTATTTTGAATGTTTTCTTTTTTTTCACAATGTTTTCAATAGTTCAAGTACTTCAATTAATTACTGATTTAGTTACTGATTTTGTTTGTTGCCAGGATCAGAATATCGTCTGCATAGATTAGTGGCTGTATTTTGGCTGTGGATTTTGAGTTTGGTTCTCTGACAAAGTCTGGTATGTCTGCTAAATAAATATTGTATAGTATGGGCGCCAGCAGTGATCCTTGCGGAACTCCTGCCGTTATACTTCTGATTGATGATTTTTCTTTCCCATTTTGGCTACTGACATAAAATGTTCTGTCCGTGAGGTAGCTGCGGATTATTCTAGTTGTATTTGTGTCAAATTTGTGTATTTTCATCATTTTATAGACTAGTCCGTTTGTCCAAACAGTGTCAAAAGCCTTCTCAAAATCTAGCGCTATAGCGATTGTTGGCTTTTTTTGCTGTAGGCTTGTGTAAATAAAATTGTTTGCTACTGCTAGGGAGTGGTTAGTTGAGTTCTCTTCTCTGAAACCAAATTGATAGTTTTTGAGAGTTTTGGTTTTCTCCAAATGTTTTTTTAGATTTTCCAGCAGCATTTTTTCAAATAGGTTGCTGATTGCGGATAGAATCGAGATGGGTCTGTATCCTCTTAAGGTTTTATGGTCAGAGTTTGGCTTGGGGACTGCAATGACCTTACTTTGTTTCCAAGCTATGGGGAAGTATCCGATATTATAGCAGTTGTTAAATATTCTGGCTATGTGATCAAGGATGATAAGGTTGAATTTCTTTATTAGGAAGTTGCTGGTCTTGTCTGGTCCTATTGTTTTTTTATTGTTTTTCGCTTGGAGCCATTCTAGTAGTTGGTTGGCGTTTGTAAAGCCTTCCCTCCTTGCTCCTTCCCAATTACCATCTGCAGTTTGTGTCTCTCTAAAGTTAACTATATTTGTTAATGTTAGTAAGTCATTCCCCACAACTTCGCTTACCATGCTAGCATGGGCGAGCAGCTCAGGTGAAGATGGGGTCATGTTATCGTTTTGCTTGTGTATGTTTTCAAAAGACCAAGAGAGTGCATTTATTTTCTCTGCTTCTGTTTTAATATTGGGTGTGGACATGATATTCATGTCAATGGAGTTTTGCTCTTGTGTAGTTAGTTTTATATCAATTTGCTGCTTTCTGGACGGACATAGGAATTTTGTGCTTATTTTTGATGGATCTAGCCTTGCTATCTGATTTTCAATGTTTTGTATGTGAGCGGATTCAATGTATAGTTTTATTTGCATGGACATTATTCTTAACATGTTTCTGGTCATGTCTCTTTCTTGGCTTGACATGGTCCCATACCTTCTGTGCAGGAGGCGATAGAGAGCGCGTCTTTGTGCAATTAGTTTGATGGCATGTTTGCTTATGCTAATGCTTCTATTTGGTTTTGACGGGTCAATGTGGATGTTGGGCACTACTTCTGTTGAATTGATGGCTTTTTCCACCGCTTTGGTGAGCCTATCTATATGATGGTCAATTTCATTCTTGTTTAGGTTTTTGTTATTGGGCACATGTGTTTTGTTTCGCATCAGGGTCATGTTTAGTTTCTCGATGTTGATTTTCTTGTAGTTTTTAACTACTTGTAGGTCCTGTTTAACTAACTGAAAGCCGCCCAGGCGTAGCTTAAGCTCAACACCAAAATGGTCTGTATTGAAGTCGCTTACTATCTTGAGTCCCTCTCTCGAGTCTACGGGTAGCTCTGTTGTGCATATGAAATAGTCAATGGAAGAGTGCCTACCAGTATTGTTGTTCCTTCTAGAAGGTTCAGCAGTGGGGTATAATATGAGGTTTGGTTGCTCAATTAGCCAATTGTGGAGCGTTCGTCCATCAGCGTTTATATGTGCTGGACTCTGCTCGGGGAGATGCCAGCTTGGGTGCTTGGCATTCAAATCTCCTGCAGCAATGATGGGGCTTAGTGTTTGCTCCTCAATAGAGGTGAGCAGCGTGTTGATGTCTTGTAGAAGGAGCCTGTCATGTGGTCGCTTGTATAAGCTGGTAGCTACTATGGATTGCATTTCGCCCCTGTTGTTTTTATAGTGGATTTCTATTGCCATTGCTTCTAAGAAACGTAGCGGCTTAATGTCTATCTGTCTATACTTAGTCCCTTTTTTTATGCAGATTGCAACTGAACTGCCTTTGTTTGTTGTTCTTGTCTCTGTCGCGGTAATTGTTTGTCTAATGAGCTGGTAATTTGTTAGTTGGATATTATGTTTATCGCTGAGGCGATGCTCAGCAATAAGCATGATGTCTGGTTTGTGTAAGGTTAGTATGCTGTCTAATTCGTATCTCTTTTGGAGAGATATGAGTGAATTGACGTTTTGGAAGATGCATTTGAGCTGCATTATGGCATGGATATTTGGAATAAGAAGTCTAGAATGATCTGTTGTTTGCTGGTTTTTGAGTTGCCGCTGTTTTTGGCGTTGGCATATTTTTTGGTTACGGATTGCATTATTTGGAGGCATGACATGATATCCATCCCGAAGGCGTCCATGGTATCATTGTTGAAGTCTTCAAAGGAGAGGGTCAAGTCTTTTTTTATATTTTTATTGCTGTCGTTGCTATTTAATTTTTTGGTCATGTAATCGTGTAATTTGGGGTTACTTGTCACTATTGTGTTTTGCCTAGCTATTGGTGGTGCTGTCTGTTTTTTGGAAAATAGAGACGCGAAGGTTGCCTCTCCCCTGGTGGCCTGGTTCGCTCTATTTAGTGTTTTGTTTGTTCTGTTTTGAGTATGGTCCCTTTTTTGTTGTATTTTTTGTAATGCTGCTACACGGATTGGACAAATTTTTGCATTGGCCGTGTGTTGGCCTTTGCAATTGACGCATTTGATGTTGTCATTTTTTGAATTTTCTGGTGATTTTTGGATGGCGCATTGCCCTGGGCTATGCTCCTCTAAGCACTTGATGCATCTGTAGGCCAATTTGCAGTTGCTCGCAACGTGCGAGAATCGTTGGCAGTTATGGCACTGTAGTATTGAGTTTTTATTGGGCCTAAGTGGCTCAATCGCTATGCGACAGTTAAGTAGGGTTCTAAGGGCTATTATTCTCTTGATGTTATCAATGTTCCTCTCAGTCTGGACCAACCAGAATTTTCCTTTGAAAGGCTTAATTGTGGTGAACTCTATCCCTGGAAGACTTTCCTCAAGTGACCCCTTAATCTCTTCATCATTGTAAATTGTTAATGGCATTTTTTTTATTAGGAATGTATATGGTTTCAGTTCCTTAGGTGTATATGTAAAGTATTTAATTTGGTTGTTTTCAAGTATATGTTTGGTCTTTGTAAAGTTTTCTAGGCTTGTAGCCTTTATATGAGTTAAATTCTTGTTCTTAATGTCTAGCGTAAAAGTAACATTATGGTGCTTAAGCTTTGCTGCTAATATCTTAGGGTTAATATTATAAGTAGATATTGAAGGAACATACGTTTTTTTTGTTGATACTGCTGCTGTTGTTGCTCTGGTTGCTGATGTTGTTGAGGCCGCTGCCGCTGCTGATGTTGACGCCGCTGCCGCTGCTGCTGATGTTGATGCCGTTGCTGTTGAAGCCGACGCTGCTGATGCTGCTGACGCCACTGCCTTTGTTGATGTTGATGATGATGATGCTGATGCCGACGTGGTGTTGGTGTTGGTCTTCTTCTTCTTCTTCGTCTTTGTGGGCGTTGAGCCTGTTGAATCCTTTTGGCGTTTTTTCCCCAACGAGGGATAGTCCGAGTCAGAGTCCGTGTGGATTCCGCTCTTGTTACAGTTGTTCATGTTGTTGATGGCTGTCTGTAGCTCATCATTTAATTTCTCCAGTCTATTGTTCCGTTCTCTTAGGTGTTGCAATTCGGTCAGAATCCCATCCAATTGCATGGGAGTGATGGTTTGCTCCTGGTCCATGTCGCACTCGTCATCGCCTTCGTCGACCATGACTTCATGGCTGTGACAAGCGGCGGCTAACTGGGATATATTCATTTTGGGTTTTGCGTTTTTATGTTTATGTTTTTTCAGTATGCGGCCACCACTTTTCAGCACTGCCTCGAGTTGACCGCCATCCGGCAGCCACGACACGGGTTTTATTAGTTTTTCTTTATTTATGCTGCGCCTCTCGATGTTGTATTTTTTATTACGCCGTTCGCTTAGATTGGTTTCACTGACTTTTTTTGTTGTACACATATGACTATATATGATTTTCGTTCTGCCTTTGATGTTTGGCTTTAGTGTCAATTTCACGATTTACTCTGGTTTCTGTCACAACGTACACCCCGTGCTCCGGTCTTTAGAAATAAATTTCTCGGATGTACGACTATTCTCTTTGATTTGATTCTTCCCTCCAATGCAAGTTTTCTCCATTATGTAACTGATTTAGTTTGTTTTGT